TCACTCCACCTCTCGGCCCCAATGGCCACTCACACACACAATACCGTTCTCGCACGTCACCAACATCGGCGACTCATGCTCACTCCTCCACACCTCGACACCAATAGGCCACGCACGCACACAAATACCATTATCTCACGTCACTAGCATCGGTGACTCATACTCACTCCACCTTTCAACCCCAATGGCCATAACACAGGCCACTCACATTCTCGCACGTCACCAACATCGATGACTTGTGCCTACTCCTCTACACCTCGACCCCAATAGGCCACGCACACACACTAGTACAATTATCTCACGTCACCAACATCGGCGACCCATGCTTACTCCTCTACCTCTCGACCTTATTAGGCCACACACACCAACACTTCACGCATACACCGGCGATGTTCCCTCGTCAACCTTTAAATTTATAGCAACTATACCAACCTATCTCCCCTCACCACACTGCCATTATACCACTACCAACGCGCCCCTACTCTCCCACCCTAAACCACACTCTACAATCCCCTCTTGTGTCATCCCCATCTCCAGCAACTACATTCTCATCTCCCTCTAAACCTACCTCTCCCTATTGTTTCATATGCCTCTTACATCACCCGAAATTCCTCATACATATCGATTCCTATTCCATAGTCCCCTCCCTCACACAGTCCGGACTCTCATTGTCACCCTCACCACACTCACCCTCCTCACTGGACACTCACCGAAGTCATTCTTCCTGCTCATTTCGCTCGCAACTCCCTCTGCACTCTCGCTCCCGCACACAATTCCCTTCATCCTCTCGGATCTCCCACACGCGCCAAATTCCTTACTCACTCTTCCTCTCAGTGACCTTCCCTTGGTGCTCACACTCTCCTCACACGACTTCCCCTCTCTCCCACGGACCTCCCGTACGCCCCAGCAACGCCATCCTCTCCTTCCCACGGCCTCCTCCGCGAACGCCTCTGCCATTCCATCCTACACTCCACCTCTCAGCTCCACCCAGCTACCTACGGACTACCTGGCCTCTGCAACCTGTAAATAACATCACAACTCACACAACACCTACACAACCAAAGTTTTTACCGTACCTCCCATTTCCACTTTCCTTCCTCTTGTCGATCGTACCGTTCGCCGTCCACGGCCCTCTTCTCTCTCCCTTCTCGCTTCTCTCTGCTCCGACTCCCCTCTCTCTCTTTTCCGGAACCTCCTTCCCTTTCTTCTTTCCTCCTTCCCACTCTCTTCCTTCCCTGCTTTCCTCTTTTCTTCTTTTTTTTTCTTTCCTCCCCGACCCCCATTTATATCCTACCAGCTTACTCAAAACGACGTCATTTTTCTCCCTCCCAAACCGACGTTGTTTTTCCTTCTTCGAAATGGCGACGTTTCCTCCAAACAAATTTTCTTTTTTTTTTCTTTTCTCTTTTTCCAGTTATTACAATTATTGGCAACGAGAAATTAAATTTCGAACGTGTTCTCAACGTTAAGCTAACCAAAGTTATTCTTGGGCAAGAAGCATGCAGTTCAGGTCATGATCCCGGCTCGGAGTGGCAGAATAATTTTGACGGCTAGTCTTATGTCAAGAATCGGCAACATGGGTGTACTTGTTCGAAATACAGCGTTTTGGGGCTGACCAAGAATGTTGCAGTGGAGTTTGGCCAATTCAAAATCAGGGTTAATTACTTGTCACCTTATGGCATTGGGACGCCATTGTTGAGAAGACTTGGTGGGTTTTGTAGAGATGAAGAGCTTGAGGTGTAATACTCAGCTGGGTATAAAAGAAAAGAAATACATATATATATACACAATTAATTATAAATTAAAAGAAAATAAAGAAAAAATAAAAAAAAGAAGAATGTAGAGAGAAGGAGAACAAGACCAAGCGACAAATATGTATATATATGTATATGTAATGAAATAGCAGAGAAAAAAAAAGAAAAAAAAAAGAAAGAGAGGAAAGTGCGAGGGGAGAGAGAGAGAGAGAGACAAGAATAAGAAGAAGAAGAAAGGAAAAGAAAGAAGAAGAAAAAAAAAAGAAGAAAGGAAAAAAAAAAGAAAGAAGAAGAAGAAAAAAGGAAAAAAAAAAAGAAGAGAAGAATAAAAAGAAAAAAAAAAGAGAAGAAAAGAAAGGAAAGAGAAAAAAAGAGAAGAAGAAAAAAAAAAGAAAGAAAAGAAAAAAAAAAGAAAAAGAAAAGAAAAAAGAGAAGAAAAAAAAATGGAAGTGTGTCAACCAAATATAATGTTGGTACGCAATATTTGATAACACGCGTTGATTCGATCATCAGCATGTGATATACTCAGTGACACATGTGTAATAGCATGTAGTGATGTTTGCAACTGGAACCGCGTGTTCCAAGGTAAAATCTATTTCTAATTTCGCATAATATAATTTTTAAAATTATTTATAATCTAATATATATTTTTTATTATAA